CAGGCAGGTGCTCAGATCAGCAGGGAGCTTTCTTCCATGTGGCTATTTGGGGACCAAGGCACCTTCCATTTTTCAGTTCTGTCATCCCTTTGGGCCCTTTTGGTCATTAGCATCTAGCCAGATGTAGGGAAAAGATCATGGAGATTTTCTGGTTCGTGGTACACTGAAGAAAACTTTTCATGTGGCCACACCTACCTGTCCAAGAAATTGGGAATCGTGGTTGGTCTGTGTGTGTGCCTGAGGAAGAGGAGAATGGAGATGGCCAGCTGCACCCAGGCCAAGGGTGGCCAGGAGACAGCAGAAAGCAACGCGAGTGTTAATGGAATGTTATTTCTTCTGGAGCAGGGGACACTACACTTTTCTGTAAAGGACCAGATAGTAAACATTTTAGGCTCTGTGGGCTGCAAATGATCTCTGTCACATAGTTTTCTCATTTTTTTCCTAAAGCAACCCTTTAAAAATGTCAAAACCATTCTTAGCTGGCAGGCTGTGGGCTGGATTTGTCCTGTTTGTCAACTGCTGTTCTTATTTCATCATGACTAATTACCAGTCTTTTTCATAAGTCCAGTATTTAATGAGTTTCTTTAATAAAGTTAAGATTTTTGGAAGTCAGTTTTTACTTGAAGTAGATAAATCATAACTTGATTTATAATTCAGAACTATGACTTTATCTAGTTTGTAGATATTTATAGTTTCCACTTTATTGATGAATGTGTATCCTGTTTATAATTAGCTAATAGTAAGTGATAGCAGATTTGCTTTTTTGTGATTTATTTCTTAGCCGGCTAAACCAGTACTGTTTCACAATTTATAGAATGTTTGTCATGCGCATCATCATGGTTGATTTTCACAACTCACACTTCGAGAAAGTTAGAATCTTGTCATGGTTAAACCAATGGAGAAAGTTGACATAGTGGACCAGTATGGCTCCGACCCGTGACACTGCCATTTATTAGCTGTGTAACCTCACAGCAAGTTACTTCAGCTGCGAAAGCCTGAGTATTCTGGGGTATCAAATGGGGAAGAAGAAGGAGAAGGAGAAGACTTAGTTCAGAAGCCTTGAGGGACAATTGAGATAATGCATGTAAAGAATTCACTACAGGGCTGAGCCCGTGGCGCACTCGGGAGAGTGCGGCGCTGGGAGCGCAGTAGAGCTCCCGCTGCGGGTTCGGGTCCTATAGAGGGATGACCGGTGCGCTCACAGCACTCACTGGCTGAGTGCGGTGCGGCCGGTCTCAAAAAGGACAAAAAACAAAAATAAAACAAAAAAAACTATACTTTGCCTTTTATGTATGAGATTACAAAACATAAGGACTTGTGGCTTTAAATGAGACCTCATTTTTAGAAAAAGACCTCAGGCTAAATTTTGAACTATGCCCAGTTTTCTGACTTCAAGTGGAGAGAATGTTGGATTATCAGAAATTTGACTTCAGTGTTGGGGGCTGGGGCACTGTGAGGTAGTGCAGTGAGGATTGGTTCCAGGACCTCCTGCATACGAAAATCTGTGGATGCTCAAGTCTCTGATATAAAATGGTGTGGTATTTGCATATAATCTGTACACACCCTCCCTTATACTTAAATCACATCTAGGTTATTTATAATACCTAATACAATGTAAATGCTATGTAAATAGTTATTACACTGTATTGTTTAGGGAGTAATAACCCAGAAAAAAGTCTGTACATGTTTAGTACAGATGCAATTTTTTCCCCCCAGAATAGTTTCAATCTGTGGTTTGGTTGAATCCACAGATGCAGAACCCATGGATTCAGAGGGCTGACTGTACACACTGACCTGATAACATGGGGGGCTGGGGGGGAGGTGAGGTGTTTGAATATATGCATGATAGCTTTTCAGTTCTTTGCTTTATTGAAGTATTTAAAATACATAAAATGAGGGTTGGTTGGTTAGCTCAATTGGTTAGAGTGTGGTGCTCATAACACCAGGGTCCAGGGTTTGACCCGTGTACTGGCCAGCTGCCAAAATGAGTAAAAAAATAAGTAAAATGAACTGTTTTGTCAATCTGTAGACATCCTAGGATCAAAATTTCTGTGATCAGCTTTGAAGACAAGGTGGCTTGACGTGAATGATTAGTTTTGGGGGATTCTTTAAGGTGATTGTGCTACTTCAGCTAAACTAGAGCCTCATGGCTGTTTATACCCTTAAAGGAACAGTACAAGTCAATATGTGATTGGAGTCTAAACAAGCCTGTGACTCCTGTGCTCCTGTCATAGGGGTACTATTCTGAACATGGCTATTTTAGTCACTATAAGCTTTAATACGAAGTGCGGGAAGCAGTGGTAAAAATACACCTTTTTTAAGAATTTGTGATTTTAGAAAATTCTCAGATAAGTAAACCATGTTACTCCAACAGAAGCATCATAGATGGCTATAAGTGTTACTTTGTGCCCTAAACAAGGCACAACTTCTCTACTTCCTCTTTGTGGGAATGGAAACCAAGTTTTTTCTTATCCTCCATTGGAGTTATCTTTTGGTATTATTTTGTATTTTTTTACACTTGTCAATTTTATTAGGATAAAATGGCATAATAAAAAATTTTTGTTTGCTCTTTCTCTCAAATCTGAAAACCAAAAAAAACATTTATGTCTATAAAGGCCATTGGCCTTTTCCCCAAAGTTCTTTCCCTATTACTCATATATCATCTTTGCCCTTATTTCTCTAATAATTGTATTAGAGGTAGGTTGCTCATGTTTCCTTCACTAGCAAATGCATTACATGTTATAAAGGAGTGGCCTCTACAGGGCATCCCTTCCAGCTTCTCATCTTGAGAAGTCACTTGTTAGCCTATGAGTGTGGTGGTTGCTCTCTGTGCTGGGAGTTGTGCTTCTCTAGCATGTTCTGCGATGTACTCTATGCATAATTATCAACCTAATCATTGAGAGGAAAGAGACAGCTGTGCCTCATACTATGGCCCACTGCGTTGTATAATCCCACAGAGTCGCGTTGAATGTCACTTCCACACATCATTTCCACTTGAGTAAAGTGTTGTGAGTCTGGGTTAGTTAAACCATTACAGTGGCTGTTCAGCCCTAACTGTGTCTTGGTCCTGTTGCTGCTAATTGATGTCAGCATATTGCTGTGTTTCCTTTAAAGCATTTAAAGGTTTTTTATAAACAAGATCTGTATTTATAACACCCTTCGTATTTTATAATAGTAATCTAAAACTTGTTACCTAAAAGCTTTTTTAAGCTTCCTAAAAATTTTGTTTATTTATTTATTTATTTATTTATTTGTCTTTTGTCTTTTTTCCGTGTCCGGCGACGGATCGCAACCCTCAGTGTTGCCCCCGTACCGGACCGGGGACCGGCAACGGGATTGCAAGCCTCGGCGTTGCTCCCGCGCCTCGCTCAGCCAGTGAGCGGGAACCGGTCTGTATGTGGGATCCGAACCCTCGGCGGGAGCGCCGCCGCGCTTCCCAAGCGGCGCACTATCCAGTGCGCCACTGGGCCGGCCCAAAAATTTTGTTTATATTTTAAATGCTGTGATCATATACTTAATAGTAAAGTCCAGTTTTCACAACATATCATGTGAAGTGGATATATGCCTTTATAGATCCTTGAGTAACCTGCCGTAGCGCAATTTAGTTTTCTCCTTTTATTCCTGGATTTGATCGGTATGGATAAATTTTGCCCTCCATGATCTCAATTTTTTTAAAAAAATTATTTTTTTGAGGCAGATATTCATGAAGAGCATCAAATCAGGGTATATAATGGTACATCAAAAAATTCATGAAAAGATTCATATTTTTAAATTCTATTTTTCCATGAACTCTTTGAAGTACTCTCATATTTCTACCTAATCTAATATGGGTGAATTTAACAAAATATATACTTCCAAAAATATGTGTACTATATACATAGGTTATGACCTTTTGCAGCTTCCTTCCTTTTACCCAGCTAGTTTTAAATAACGTGGATATTAACATGCTTTTTTGGTGACAGTGGTAACAGGGGACACTTCACTAGGTGAGTGGTGAAGCTCCAACTGATAGATAGGTTTTGATTTTGAGGTCACATGGAGTATGTCTTAACCAAACTCTGGTTTAGGAATTGGTGAGCATCTTTGACATATAGGAATGGCTTTTGAATGTCCCTGTCCCTACTCAGGACTTTTGTTTGATGCTGTTATCTTGTCGTCTGTTGGTCAAAAGTAGCCTATGAGATTGTCTCATCCTGGCAGTCTTTTGATTATATAGTGAACCCTCTATTTCATGTTTCCATTTGTAACAAATGATTACCTTCTTTAGCTTTGTAATTTGAAGGAAACAAACTTTGTGTTTTCATTGTTATGTGGGAATGGGAATGAGGTTGAGGAAAGAGTATAGGAGTATGTGTGGCATAATGGAGTGATTGGTGTAAGTTTGATTGTCAAATATTTTTCCTAGTAACTGCAGAAAATCAGTTTGTCCAAATTCTCAAGAATTAGATTCCAGTTTTTTAGTTTCTTTATTAAGAATGGCACAGGTTTTTACTGTTTTATGACTTAAGCCTTTCAGCTATGAAAGTGCTATCAGTGGCTAAAAGTGCTTGTTTCCAGTGGTTATTTAATTCTTTAGAATTCTGAAGAGTTCTAGATATGTAGGTCTCATTACTTGTCGTTTGTTGCTGAAGATATTAGTTCAGTGTAAGAATGTGTTCTTCACCCTTAAGAAAGGGCTACTTTCTCCCTTTCCCAGCATTAAATTCTTAACAAAGTATGGACAGATTACTTTTGCAGGTTAAAATCAGCCCAAGTTTTAGCTTTGAGCATTTCCAAGTCGATTTTATTTAATTAATAAAAATAATTTTCTTTTCTGAGAAGAAAAAAATCTTGTTAATGTTATTCATTAAAAAAGCATTTTATAGGTTTAGTATGAAGCTTATTTTACTTTTGTGAGCCAAGTTGGCATTTTAGACTGTGAAACTGAACTGAAATTTGAATTATGGAAAATTAATATGTGAAATTGAAATTTTATGAAATACTCTCTGCATTTTGTTTAGACCAGCATGTTTTGGAAATTCGATCTTCACTCATCATCCCACATAGACACACTTCTAGAAAGAGAAGATGTAACACTGAAGGAGTTAATGGATGAGGAAGATGTTTTACAGGAATGTAAAGCTCAGAACCGCAAACTTATAGAGTTTCTGTTAAAAGCAGAATGTCTCGAAGATTTAGTCTCATTTATTATAGAAGAACCACCTCAAGACATGGATGAAAAGATCAAATACAAGTAAGAAAATTCAGTCTTCTCTTTAGGGTGGGACTAAAGCGAAGTTGGGGTAGGATATTATAGTTCTTATTGTCCAAGAATTTCCTAGTGCTGCTGTTATCATTTACAGAAGGTTAAGATGGTAAAGAATGACAGACTCAGTGAAGCATATAATCCTTTGAAAACTAAGTCCAGTGAATTACAGGAGTTTTAAAAATGAGTGTTCTGAGTTTCAGTCAGAAGGTTCTGTGGAAGAGCAACATGCTTTATAAACAGTGATGACAAGTTTCTTAAAATAGCAAGACGATTCAAGTAAGTATTTTCTCTACTTCACAAATAGAAAGATAGAGATTATGTGACTACCCAAAATTACAAAGCAGATCTAAGTCAGAGCTTGGGCTGTGAAGAACGTTGCTACATTGCTGATATAATAAATTCTGACCATTTGTTAATTGAAAATAAGGATATGGGTGTTGGTAGTTAAATGTAAGCAGGTGACACCATGGATAACTGCAGTGGAGTAGCGGCAGGTGGGTGGGAAGATAGGTAAAGCCATGAGACTGGCTGAGGTCACCTGTGGAGCTGGTGGAGAAAGGTGGAAGAAAGATTCTGAGATTAGTCTTGGAGACCATTGGCTGGACGAGGGTTCCACAGAGGGACCAAAGAGTGGCTGGATGTAAGAGAAGAACCAGGAGAGGCTGCTGTCCTGAGAGCCAAGGGGAAGCAGGCTTCAGCGAGCAGAGAGGGACAGTGGGTCGGGCTCCTGCTCACAAGAAACCACTGAGTTTGCAGCGTGGAGATCATTGGTTTTGTTTTGTTTTCTTAGTGGAAGAAATGATGGTCTGTTTTGATGCTGGTGTGAGTGATACAGTATGCAGGAAATGACACCAGCATGGGGAGCAGGCCGACTAGTGATGTTCTGTGCTGGAGGACGTGGGAGGGAGTGTGATTGAGAGGAACGTGGAGGGTGGTCTCAGGAGCAAGTACAGCTCCCATGTAGAGGGAGGAAGAGTCCAGATGGAGGTCGGGGGTACAGTAGGGCTGGGGTCTCTTCTCATTTCTTCTGTGTTCTCGGTACAAGAGGTCAGAGCATGCAGTGGGGTGGAGGGCCTTGCCAAGGGTTGGAGTGGAGGGCACCTTTGGTTGCTGTAGGAGCTTGCTGAATGGTAAGGAATGTCTAGAACCAGACCTCTGAACCATTTGTACAATGCCTGGGCCTCATTATGTGTGCTTCTTGAGTTAGATCATATCTCCAAATCACAGAGCAGGTGCCCATGCCCTGCTCTGGACCTTGTGCTTCAGAATTTGGAGAATATGCCCATGCATATGAATTGCAGTTGGGGTTGAGTCTGCTAGCTTTTACTAATCCTTTATTTGCCAGCAGTTTTCAAATTGTGACAGTTGAGACAGTTTGCCCGTCCAAGCCCCAGTAGCAGTATTTCTGTAGTTTTATAGTAGAAAATAAAGAGGAATAAAAACAGCTATCATTTGTTAAACACTTATATGCCAGGCCCTTTCCCCAGCATTTTGTATGCATTACCCTCCTCCACAAGATAAAGGACTGTTGTCTTAATATTACAAACTTGGAAACTGACGAGTTAAGACATTTGCCCAGGATTATACAGCTTGTAAGTTGTAGAGGCAGGTTTTGAACCTAGGTAGTGTGACTCCAGTGGCTGTACCTGTAACCACTACATAATCCTGCCCCTGGGATGATGGTGACTTTATAGGAGTTTATATTAGGGCATCTTTGAGCCCATGTGTCACATAAAGTGAGGGAAGCTTTAATTGAGCTATATACCTCCAGAAGTCAGCTATTTGAGATTGTGATCCTCATACCCACACATCTGCCAGATGTCTCTTTTTCTCTTCAGTCTTCTTCCCACAAAGGTTCATTATGTGACATTTTCACAGTGTTCAGTCTTCTGACCTGACACCAGACGCTCTTGGGTACTGTGGCTTCTGGTGTGTTGCCAGTTGCCTCTTTAAGTCAGGGGTCTCGAGACAGGCCGCTGCTGCTTGCCTTGGAGGCCTCCTGGCGTGTCACACACATTCTAGCCCACAATCCTGACCTCTGTCTTTTGTCTTACAGCTGCTTTTGGCTATTTTGTCACCTCCCTGTCCTGGCAGCATTTGAGCTTACCACTTTGATGACTAGTTGGGGCTGACTGGGAGGAATATAAGAGCAGAGAAGTGAACTGTGAGTCAGAGTGTCATCTGGATGGGCCTGGGAATCTCCATTGTTACTATTGAAAACAGACCAGAAATAGTTCATGGTAAAAGAAATAAGTGGAGAAAATGGATTTACTGCCTGTTTTTCAGAGAGTGAGTGGTGTGGTTGTTAGAGGCGAGCATGCTGTAGGGGGTGCAGGTATTTCTGAAGCTGTGGGGTCTGTAGAAGAGCCAGCGGATACATTCAGAACAGATGTCATGTTGCTCTCAGTGGGCCTGTATCTTACAGGAGTGGTATCATAGTAAAGACTGACAGTAGGCTGAGTTCATGTCTGTAGTGATCCCCAGGAGACACTGGAATGCTGATGTGGAGGGCAGGGTTTTTTGTATACAGCTTCCCACCTGGGTAACGCAGGCTGATGTGTTCTTCTCTTCAGTATATAAAGATATTTATTCTCGGGCCGGCCCGGTGGCGCACTGGATAAGTGCGCCGCTTGGGAAGCGCGGCAGCGCTCCCGCCCGAGGGTTCGGATCCCACATACNCCACGTGTGACAAAATATTGTGTAAACAAATAAAATGTTAGTAATGCATGAGATTTCTAGCCTATAAGAGGGTAGTGTTCTTGAATAAAAGTTAGGGGCTTATATAGTTTAATTCATGGTGAGTAATTAAATTCTTCCCAATGCTAATTTATATTTTACCATAAAAACTCCAGATTTCAGAACCAAAAAGATTTCCAGAATCACACCGGAGGGTAGCTTGTAAGTTTACTCTGGCACAAGGCCACTTACAGGGTGAGAGAAAGTTCATGTCTCCCCATTGTGTGAAGTCACATGTACAAAGTTCTTTTGTCCAAGTGTCCTTGTCATGTGAGGCTGCTAAATATTTTTCACTTGGCCTTCCAATCACGTACAAAGTATTATACCCCGAGAACCAATTTGATATATGAAAAATGGAAGCTTGTGCTGAAGCTCAAAGGAGTCACAGTTTGTAAGAATTGTGCTGTACCCAGTGAACCACATGTGTGCCCCTCCGAAGCTCACTTAGAACATGGACAAGATGAGGAAAATTTAAATGAAGAGCCAGAGTCATTTCAGAGCTAAGAGATAAAAATAGAGTCCTGGTCAGGTTATTGCAGGACAAAGAGTAAACAAGTTTCTTTTGCTGAAGAACAGAGTTTGAATCAGAATGAAGCTCATTGCATTTTAGGACTTGTTCATTTTACCAAAAAAGAAGCAAAGGCAAATGATAATTTATTAGAGAGTAGACAGGAAAAGAATTGGGATCTAATTTCTTACATAGCATGGGAATACATATATGAAACATTTTTCCTGTTTTGAAAGAGAACCAAGGAGTTATTTACCAGGAATATTATTTGTAAATTTCTGTTTTAAACCACATCATTTTTTACCTTTTTAAGCAGTCTTTGCCTCCTACCAGGCCCAGTTCCCTCACAGCTGTTTAATCATATGAACCAACAAAGCCCTGTGTCCACTTGTGTAATTCTGCAAATTCTCCATCAGCCTTCGCGACCGCTCGTTCTGACACTGTCCCTTCAGCAATTCTGTGTGCACTAGCCAAGCTCTTCCTTTCCTCCAATAACACGTCTTCACTGGACTTCAATGTTTCAGCCATCCAGCCTTGAAAACTACACATTTCAGAACATTATCCATCTCACCTATTTGTCAAAATTAGGTGGTAAATTTCTCAGTAAAAGATACAATTGTGACATGTCTATAGAATTTATACATGTTAAAGGGAAAGTCATCTAAGAAAAATATCAGCAGGGATCTATACAGTGGTTGGGAAAGTGGGGGCTGGCCAGTTCGGGGATCTGAACCCATGACCTTAGCAGGATGTGGCCACACTCTAACCTGCCGAGCTAAGCAGTCAGCCTTAAGGATTTCTTGAGAAGGGGACACGTTCGAAGTCCTTATTACATTCTGCAATAGAAATAGGGGAGATAAGAAGAAATAGCAGATGAGATATTCATCCTGGGCTATTAATTATGGAAGTTGCTTCTGGGGCCCGTTGTGAACTGTTTTCGCTCACCTTCCTGGCTAATGGTGTGAATAGGGCTAAGGCTACTTTATGAGTTGAGTGAAGAAAACACAACAAGGTCATCCACAAATCTCAAGAAGGGCCTGCAGCATTCCTGATCCTCTGCTCCTTCACCATTACCCGGGAGCCCAGATCCTCTTTTCACAGT